TCCCTTCAATTCTAATTCTGTCTTTGGTAAATCATATCTTTTGCATGTCTAAGATTTATTTGGAAATCAATTTCATATTTTAATTCCACTCTTGTTATATTTTAAGAGTGTTAAGAAAATATTTTTTGCATTACTGAAAGTCAAGTAAAATCTCTAGCAATTCAATTCTGAGAGAAAGAGAATTGTCAAAGATAGCTGATACCATGGTATCTCTTTTTAATATTTTAAATATATAGGTATATATTTATATTTTGATAAATAGGCTCTAGGTGCTTCTAGACGCGTGCCTTAAAATTTTATTTTAGTCTTCTCATAAAGAGTTTAACTTTAGGCAAGAAAATTATCTGTAGATCTACCAGAGACTAGAACAGAGCACATGTAACTGAACACTGAAAATTTAGCTGCAGGAGTGGTTTAAAACTGATATCTTGTTTTTGAAGTGCACTTTTGCAACCTTTCTGTATTTGCTGTTGTGAAAAATCATAACCTTTTTTGGAATTATGTTGCTGCTGCTGCTTTGACCAAAAAGGAATGTCATCAGGAGGAGTTTAAGCACAGATCAACATTGGTACATTGCTCATCAGCCTTTTTTTTAGAAATATTCAGCTTTTATTTTTGTAAGGAGGCAGCTGGTTTCATCCACAGAAGTGAAATATGTCTTCCTGTGGTCATATTTAGCATATATGGGAGCTCGTCTGCCTTTCCAAAATGTTATAGTCAGTAATTCTACCTGTTTGTTTCTCATATACCTTTAAACAAAATATTTTGTTCTAAGTATCTGCATGCAAAGGAGGAATTTCAGCGAGTCTTCAGGATACAACACATCACATTAGCAAAGCTCTATGGAGAGGTCACTAAACTTTGCATCTACCTGTTTTATGATGAAGATGAATTCTCATAATACTGAGAGTTAGAGCCACGGCTTTTCCTGTGGAAATGAAGTTAGCAGTGGGAGCCACGTGAAATAAAACTGTAGGAACTGACTTCTGTCTGGTAGGCAGTTTTTTGCACTGAACATATGTGTAACATATGGATCAGAAATCTCATCATAGTGTGCATGAGACACAAAATGTGGTTCTTTTAGATTTCAGATTTCAACAGATTTTAGATAAGCATTTTATCTTCTATAACGCACAACTTCTCAAAATAAGTTCACTTTATCAGTGCACACTGCCATGAATGTGGAAGATATAAAGCTGATCTGTCTGAACCCAAGTAACTTTCCTTTCTAGGTAACATCATGTGGTTTGATGCTTTCTGTTGATTTAAATACACCCTTGGCCAATTCCTATCTATGTAAAAGTCTTAAAAGTGAAAAAAAGGAGTGTAAACTCTTATATCGTAAGTACAAGCATTCAGCAGAATAGGAACTTTCAGATGAGACAGCTTTCTCTTCTTAAATACACACTTTGGACAGCTACATTATTTGCTTACATTTTAAAAGAGTGAGTCACAGACTGTCATTTATACATGCTTATAGATACCAACAGATCAACAGTTCTAATGTCACAAACCACAACTAGGTCTGAAAGTCCACCAAATAAGAATATACCCCCAAATCAACATTTCACAAACAAAAAGCATTCCTACAAACAAAAAAAAGCTTTGCATTTTCCCTGTCCAAAAGCCTGTGAACAAAGGCTTTGCAGTAATTTCCCCAGCGTTTGAAAGCTCCCAGTGATGTTCAGATACAGCCAAAAGAAGATGGATGGATACAGGATGACTGTACTGATGGCTTGATTCTGACCAATTATCTTGACAAGTTGATTTTTGATTTCCTAACCAGGAATGGATTAAGTTACCTGGAGTGATGCTTCATATGGAGAAAATAGCTCCAGATGCTTTCTTGCATAATTTTCATCCATAACTGTAGTATATTAGGCATAGATGGTTGCAGAAACACATGTATGTGTGCAGGAAAAAACACTGCTTAAAAATAGAAATCCTTAAAATCAAAACTTTGAAGATATAAGTTTAACTATTTTATATGTCTATAAAATTTGACTCCACCAGTTTTCTAAAAAAATTAAGTATCACAGAATATTTATTCAGAACTTTTATCACACAA